CAAACAAGCAGAATGGTTTAGTAAAATAGAAGAAAAAATAATAGAAAATAAGCAAAATAGGAGAGTAGAAAGAAAGTGGCAAACTCAAAAGCCAAATATGCATGCACTTGAAATTCAGCTAGAGCCATGCTTAGAAGATAGAAGAAAGGAAGAATAGGTGTTCGTAAAATCAAGAAAAAAAGGAAAAGAAGAAGAAGAAGAGAACTCAAAGCTATTTGTCAAAAGAATTATCGCTAGTACACAGAAAAAAGCTTTAACAGAATATTGGAAACAAGACACTGAACCAAAAAGCTCAAAAGTTTTTTTAAACAAATGTAATGATTGCAGTCTAAACCAAAAGATAGAAGAAGATAGCTGTATAAGATAGAAAAATAAAAGCGAAATTCAAGATTTAATATTAAAATTTTTAAAAAAACAAAAAGACCTAATCTTAGATTTAAGCTATGAAATGTTTGCACAACTGGGTGACAAAGAAGAAGCAATACTAACAGAAAGTGAACAGAAAGCAAAATATATACAATTCATGAATCTAGAAACAGAAATTATACAGAAGCAGTTAATAAGTTAGGCAATGAAGATAGAACTTATTCGAAAGAAAGACTTGAACTAAGAAAACCTAGAAGATACTCTGGTATTCTATACAGATGGATCATTAAAAAAAGATTCAAAGAAAGGAATCTCAAGCCCAGATCACATGAGAGCAGGCTGGATACAAGTGAATACAAAAGAAAAAAAAATACTTGATAAAGGTTACTTTGGAGTACGAAATTGGCTATTATCAACAAAACCTGAGCTATTAGCAATTTGGTACATATTGCTTACTGTTCCAAGCAGAAAAAAGATTAAAATATACACAGACAGTACAACAGCTATTGCAAATATAAAAGGCAAAAATAGCTTTTTATCTGCTAAACAACATTTAAAAAAAAAAACTTTAATATATTAGAAAATATTAGGAATAGCATAGAATTAAAAGAACTTAAGCTAGGATTAGTTAAAGTTAAAGAATATAGTAATAATAAATAGAATATTAGAGCAGATAGATTAGTAAAAGAGAGATCTAAATTAGACAATATGAACAAAATAGTTAATGAAACAGCACAAAAAACTAGCATTAATCTTTGTTGGAAAAAGAAGGTAATAGAAAATCCTACAAGACAATTTCTAAAAGAAATTTTAAATCTTAAAATGAGTATAGAATGAAGTTTCACATTAGCAATTAAAAAAACAAAACTAAATAAGAACAATAGAGCATATAATTGGTCATATTTATAGAAAAGAATGAAAGACCAAAGTGAAAGCAAATATACAAGTATAAGGAAAAATAAGCAAATAGGGACTCTGATAAAGTGTATTAATGAAAAGTTGGTTTTGGCCAAGACACTAATATAGCATCACACTAATCTCTATAAGAATGCATATTGCATGCTTTGTCAAGAAGACGAAGAAGAAGACCAAGACCATTTGACAACATGTAAATATTATGAAAATATATAGAGAAACATAGAAGAAACATTAGTCAGTTTGGCATGATTGAAGTTATCAAGTGAAACCAAAGCAGAAACATGTAAAGATCAACTTAAAAAGATACTCTGGGGTATGCAAATGAATGAAAAATTAAGAACAAGACAAGGAATAATTAAAGGTCTATTACAAAAAAAGTCAATAAAACATTTGCAAAAAACTTTATAATCAGTAGGATGAAAAGAAGGGTTCTGGGACACTTTTTTGGCACCCTAGGTACCAAAGTAGTCATCTTACCTTTTTTATGACTTTGTAAACCTATATTCTATAACAACTCTTTAGTACCTATATAAAAACCTGGGTACTAAAAATTATATAGCTAGAACTCACTATTTTTAAATTTTATAATCAAATCAAATGACGACAAAAAATTAATCTCATCATCACACCTGATATTATATACTATTCATTCATATAAAAATCAAAGTACCAAAAATTAAGTATCTATTTTCCTTTTATAATACTTTTGATAATGTTTACTAACATAATAGCTTCTAATATGGTTAGGACATCTACCACTTTTAGATCGAGTAGGTTTACCACAATCAGTACAAGGAAAGCATTTGATTGCATTTTTATAAAGCCAGCACTCTTTAGGATTCATACACGATCGACCGCATGTCTCTTCAGTATATAAAAGAAAATCACATATATATTCACCTAATTGCATTTTTTTATATATGCCTAGTACATATTAATTTTCAAATTGAACAAAAATATTTTATAAGTAACAGATAAGGAATTATGTACCAGCACGTATATACAATTTTATACTATTATTTTACTATGGTAATACATATATGTGATAGATGTGGAAAAGATTTTCCTAAATTAGCAAAACTTCGTATATATCTAGAACGAAAAAATCTATGTAAACTTAATATTCCATTACAACAAAATTTAGCTATAGATCAAATTCCGATACAAACCCATGTTCCAATAGGTAATTTAATTCAATTGGATGATATACCATTATTACCTATTCAAAGCTCAGACAATGTTTTTTCGAATCTTCCCCAAAATGATACAGAATGGTTAGATAATATAGAAGATAAATATAATACAAATACTGATGAAAAATGGACCAAATTAGCTGGAACCTTGCTCTATGACTATCCAAAAAGAAATATCATAAAGATAGAAGGTAATTTTGGTGGTAAACCAGTAAGAAAAAACTATAGACTAACGAACAAAGAGTTAATATTCAAAGAATGCGAATCTAATTTAGATCCTTTAAGACCCCATCAGAACTTAACAGCAATGAGTTTATGGCAAGCAATTATTCCATCTCCTGAAAATATAAAATATAGATTTAATTGTTATGTTGAGAACTCCAATAAATATTTAGAGGTTCCATATATGCCTCAACTTATAGCAAATGCAAGAGAGCAAATTACAAGGGTACTTAAAGTCGAATTGCAGAAAAAAGATTAAATAAAAACCGCATTAGTTGCTCAATGTATATATCATGGGCATATTAGCAAAGGAAAAGACAAATCTAAAATTTCAACATATATGATTGGTCATCATAGAAGCCTTATGTGTATTATTCTTACAGAAGAAGATATCAATGAACATATAAATTTATCTATATCAGAAATAGATAATAAAATAGACTCATTTATGAAATCAGGATCAGGATGGAATTTGGTAAGGATTGAAATACTAACTATTGAAGCTTATATATATCAAAGAGCATTTGGTAGATCATATATCTCGACACCAAAGAAGCTTGCCAATACCAAATGCACAATCAATCCTAATAATTCAAAAATAATTAATCCAGTTACAGGTATGCTATCTAATAATTGTCTTTAAGGTGCATTAGCTTGTTATTATGCACATAAAGATGGATATACAGAACATCTTGAACGAATATTTACTAAAAAGGATTATAAGCAATACTTAGATATAGTTAATTTAGATGGAATCCCTATACCTACTCCAATTTGCTCACGTATATTCAATAAGATAGAAGAGATGAATCCAGATATTTCTATTAATATTTGGGAATGGAAAGAAGAAACAGCTACTTCCAAACCAGTAATAGCTAGCAAGAACTATAATAGACAACATATTATATATCTCATAGCTCTTACAGATATTATCAAATCTGAAGATTATAAGAATAAGTATGGGCAAAAGAACCATTTTCTTTGGATTAAAAACCCAGATGGATTGGTTTATAAAGATAATACTAACAAAGTTAAAAAGTATCTATGTAATCGATGCTTTCATAGTTTCCAATTAGAAAAATCTTTAGCCTATCATCAAAAGCACTGTTTCGGATTAGGAGAAGCTACCCAAAGAGTTGAATTACCTACCAAAGGTGTTAATGACTTTGAGAAGTTTAAGAACTATGGATGAATGATCAATGCTTCATGTGTTATTATAGCTAACTTTGAGGCTGATAATAAGAAATGCGATGAGAAATATGGAGGACAAATGCGAAAGCTTGCTGAACAAAAGGCCAATAGCTTTTGCTACTTGGTTCACTGGATCGATACTGGAAATGTATGGGGCCCATTCCTATATAGAGGAAAAAATGCTACTTAGGAGTTTGTCAAAAGAATCGATAAGGAATTGGTTGAAATTAATAGAGTCTTAGCTATAAAACATAATCGAATTGAGACTGACAAAGACAAAAAGAAATTCAATGAAGCAGATAGTTGTTGGATATGTAAAGATAAATTCGATACAGATAATAAAGATAAGATTTGGGACCATTGTCATATAACAGGTAAGTTTCGAGGACCTGCTCACAATGCTTGCAATCTCAAACTTCAGATAGAA